CATGCAGTGTTAGGTAAATTACTTTTAAAAAGTAACTACCTACTTTACTCTTTAAGATTAAGATCAACTAGTTACATTATGATGTTAAATTTTCAATAACTAGTTTTTATACATGCACAATTTTACAAATTTAATATTTATTTATTTGATTAATGCATTTACTAAATTATTTTCACTTTTTCTTGGTAATATTTTGGTGCAATATCTCCGGTTTTATTAACTTCCTACTTAAGTGTTTGAAGGAACCTATGTATATTAATTTAAACCATTACTTTTATCGTAGGTAAATTATTATTTATAACTACCTAATTAAAGAAGATTATAAAAATGAGAAGTTTCAGTTCACTTATACATTTTTTACCAATGTTAGTTCTTACGATGTAATTAAAAAATTGATAGAAATGTTCTTAATTTATCAAAGTTTCATCTGAAACATAATTAATTTAATCACTCTTGCATTATTTCAATAAATAAATAATGAAGTTACCTTGATCTTACTAATTAAAAGTAACAATGTATAATAACAGAGTAATTTATTATGTTATTACCAAACTCTCCAAATGAACCTCATTTTTACATTTATTATTTATTTTAATTAACTTTTTAGTACTTAAGCATTGGAAGTAATTTTTTTGCTTGTGTTTCTAGATTAGATTACCTCCATATCCAAAATATGTATTTGTTGTCAATGTTATGCCAAAAATGGTGCATTTTTTTTTAAAAATCTTTGGTGAAGTTAATATGAGAATTATAAATATTATTACGATATAACATTGATTTCCTTATACTAAAAAATTTATATTGTATTTTTATGTGCAATTAATATTTAAGTTAAGTTGCATTAATTTTATCACAAGCTTCTAAAACTAACTAATCCACTTTTATACAAGAACATGTGAAGAAAAACCATTTTCAGTTTATAAAATAAATCTTTTAGTTAATATAACAAAATAATCAATTTATTAAGTCTCTAAATATTTTTTACATGAATTACAGTACCAAAATTTATTAATTATGAGATGTACAATAAATAATTCTAGTAATGTTAGTTTACTAGGTCTTTTAAAAAAAAAAAAAATAACACCCCAACAACAATAGAACAAATAGTAAAAAAGCCAAAAAACAAATAATTTGAAATTTAAATTCAGAAATGCATTATTATATAAAGCACTTAAGACTTATGCCTAATAATTTATAAATTAAGATTAATCATCCTTCTTTGATTCATTGCCAACAGTGTTCTGAAGTTTTTCGTGTTCTGCCATGAGCCTGTCATATTCTTTGGAGACAGATTCTGCTTGACTTTTAATTGCGTCGCGGTCGGCCTTGATCGATTCCAGTTCTTTTCTTAGTTCAGTCAGCACTTCAGACTCGCCGTCTCCTTTGTCATCTCGCGTCAACAAGGACTTGGCCGCAGCACTGGCACTCTGGGCCTGTTTTAACGACGCCTCACTTTGGGCCACCAATGACGCTTGCAGGGTGACCAGGGCTATGAAACGTTTGATGACAAAGCTGAGGAACAAGGCGATGCCGCTGATGTAAAAGTTACGCTGGGCACGGAACAGTCGCATATTGGCTTGCATTTCGTGGTCCAAGTGTTGATGGGCGTCATTAAGCTCCGGGTTGGAGTATTTGCGCATTTCGCGCACGGAGTCCAACAGGAACAGGACAAGAATGAACAGCAAGAACGTGAAATACCACTGGGCCTGGGCGCTGAGCGCCTGATAGAACCTGGACCGGAACAGACGATTCCAGCGCTTGGCCGACATATACGGCACCAGGAACAGCGTCAGCACGCCCACTTCGAAATACAGGAACGTCGCGATAATCGTCCACTGGAGACTCATCTTGTGTACACGGGGTCGCAACGGACGGCGAWTTGAATCCGAATCGGAGAGATCGCTGACCGGCAGGACTGTGGTCGTATGATGTATCGCTACTGGGCCTCGGTGTTGTGGGTCGCGATACCGTCAAAAGTTTTAAATGGTGGTAAGTCACTAGGTACGCGCTTCGTTAAAAAATAATGAAAACGAAATAAATCGTGCCGGCAAGTAGGCGTCAAGGACGTCGTACCTGATCGACGGACACAAAAGATTGAACGGCAAACGCAAAAGGAAGAACGACAAGAACGAGTAACGACAGAAAGGTGCACACTGCACGATCACACCAGAGTACACAAAACACGGTGATTACTGATTAGTATTTACTATTTAGTGATATAGTATTAATTATATAGATATTATATTTTAGCATGGATTTTATATTTTAGTGATATTAATGTTAATGCAGCGATAATGCAATAATCTCACTTATCGACGATGGAAGATAATACGATGACTAAGA